ATCCGCGCCCGCCTGCAGGAGCTGCCGCACGGTCTCCACTTGCCCCCGCGCCGCGGCGCTGGCCAGACCCGCATCGCTGCCACTGCCTCCGAGCTTGACCTTCTCTTCTTCCCACATTTCGCAGACGCCAGACAAAATCGGGATGATCCGCCGCTAGCCCCGAGCTTCACGACACTCCTCGCTCCGGCCCCGCGCCGCCCCGGAGCGCTCTCTGCTCCTCGGGAGAGCCCCGCTGGCTCCAGTCCCCTGTCGCCGCCCTTTGGTGACTTGGCGGCTCGTGCAAAGGCCAAACGGCCTGTCGTTAAGTCGGCCTTTTCCGGGCGATCGTGAATGAGCGGACGCGCCCAGCTCGCTCCCAGGAAAGGCGCCTGGTGCGAGGGCTCCGGCTGGAAGGGCAGGAGCGAGCGTCTGATCCCAGGCGCACTGCAGTTTCTCGCTGGGAGTGGAGGGGTTTGGTCCAGCTGGGCGGTGCGCCGGCTCTCCCCACCCCCTTCGGCTCCGCCCGCAGCCCGCTTGCCAGCTCGGCTATGCGGCTCGCCGGCCGCGAGGCGGGGCCAGCGGAGCTGCAGGGGACGAGGTAGGGGCGGGATGGGAGAGTTGACGGGGTAGGGGCAGGGAGAGGGGGGAGGAGCTAGCCCAGACGTTGCTAGGACGCATGCGCCAGACGCCGGGCGCTCGGAGGCCCAGGCCTTGCTCGCCCAGAGTCCCGGGAAGTCTTGGTCAAGGTTTTGGAAACAACGAATCAATGTACTCAGCCCCTCCCTCCAGCAGGCGGAGCAGCGTCTTTCTATTTCTTCAGCTGGCTTCACGCTGGAGACGTTAGTCGCTCCCCGTAGAATCAATGACAGAAAGACATTTAAAATAACTCTGTCTTAAGATGTCTGAAAGTGACAGCTCTGCACCGGTCATGCAGGTTATATTCATCCCCAGGCAGTACTTGAACTTCACTAGCTTCACATCTTGCACCAACCTTAGCAATTTTCTTTTGGGTGTGTCTTCCTATTTGAATGAGTCAAAAAAAAAATCAGTATACCTGGTAAGAGAAAAATCCCGAGAATCCTGTTTTGAATGTGCTACTTATTATTTTCATCTTTGAGTTATGGTTACACTCCTTGTAAAAAATGACCTTTAGATTGAGAGTGACAACATGTCAGGCACCTAAAAATATCAATATATATGTTTTAAGAATCTGAGGTCACACTTTCATGATATTTGAACACTTTATTTTTTATTTTACTCTTATTAAAACCCACCTCAGCAAGTATTTCCTTTTTACTTGTCATGAGTAATAAAGGGAATTTATGCAAAGATAATGAAACACAATAAAACAGGGGTGTGGTGCTGGCTCTGCCATTAAACAGGTTGAACCTGTCATTAAACCCTCTTCTGAAGATTTAAAGGCCAAGTGCTTTTCTTCTTAATCTTCCTAGGTGAGTTTGCATTAATGCAGCGGTTCTCAACCTGTGGGTCGCGACCCCTTTGGCAGTCAAACGACCCTTTCACAGGGGTCGCCTAAGACCATCCTGCATATCAGATATTTACATTACGATTCATAACAGTAGCAACATTACAGTTATGAAGTAGCAACGAAAATAATTTTATGGTTGGGTCACAACATGAGGAACTGTATTTAAAGGGCCAGAAGGTTGAGAACCACTGCATTAATGCATTGCTTTAAAGATTTAAAAAATTATAGCTGATACTTGATTGAAATAGGGAGAGAACCACAAGTTGTGTGTTTGTTGCCTAAAAACTTTGGTGAAAAACTACATGAAAGTAGGTCTCTCCTAACACTGAATTGTTTTTATTCACTACATCATTTTTGGTTCAGAGTGCCAAGGAGGAAGGCTCTTAAAGGGAGGGCAATTGTTTGCTTGCTTACAAATGAGACTCGGTATGTTTCTTCTGGCATGCCTTAGCTTGGACTCCCCTCCCCTCAAACCGCTGTAGGATGAGGAAGAGCTCTTTAAAGAAAGGAAGGCCCATGGAAGTGGTAGTGAGGGCTGAAGAGATACTGACTGATTTTCAAGAGAGTGGAAGTTCACCCAGATGGGGAAGAGAAAGAGGCAGTATTAATAACAATTATTTCTCTCTCACCCTACCCACATTTTTTAGGTTTCAGTTTTTTAGTGCTTCTGCCTTTTAATCTTATTTGAGCCTCTACTCTTATCTGGAAAAAGAAATTGTCCTTGTGTTTGTTGATGATGGCTCTGTTCCTTCATCTGGCCAGAGCAATAGAAGTCTACCTTTGGGTGAAACAACCCAGTGAGTTGTTTTTGTTTAGACTTTGGGGCCAGTATCTATGCAGTGTATTGGGAATTACAGGTATGTTGGTAGAATTGGAGGAAAAGGAGAAAAAAATGGACAGTGGGAAGCCAGAATCTTTGAAAGGAATGACATTAGTTCTTTGCTAGTCACTATCAGGGGCTGAGTCAACTAGACTGATATAGGTGAATGTGGTGGCAAATGAATTCAGTCCAGAATATTTTTATCAGAACAGCCTGGTTACTCTAAAATTTAGTGCACAGCCAAATGTTGCAAGGCAGGCTGTTTTTTATTTATTTATTTTATTTTTAAAATACATTTTTTTTATTGATTTCAGGGAGGAAGGGAGATAGAAACATCAATGATGAGAATCATTGATTGGCTGTCTCCTGCACGCCCCCTTACTGGAAATCGAGCCTGCAACCCCAGCATTTGCCCTGCCTGCCTGGGAATCGAACCTGTGATCTCCTGGTTCATATGTCAATGCTCAACCATTGAACCACACTGGCCAGGTGGCAGTTTGCCTTTTAAAGGTGTGTTGTTAGGGGAGGCAGAGGAGGGTGGGAGTGGGCAAAGCAGAGGCGGGGGCAATGGGGACTCCTGCAATAATGTCAACATTAAGACATCTTAAATGAAATAAAAATAAAGACCTTCCCTCTAATGGACCCAGTGATTAAATTTAGTTCAACAAAACTTAGTTCAGCATGTCCAGGAATTCACAGTTGAATAAGATCTAGGTCCTAGCTTTTAATTAACTTCCCCAGTGGCACTCAGAACTAATAACTAGAGAGTTTCAATTTAATATGATAACTTTACTGAGACTTGTGTTTACAGGGAATTTGGGGAATAAGGAAGAAGGGAACTTAACTCAAGGTCAAGGTGCAGCTTAAGAGTCTTTTTAAAGAATGCATTGGAAATTAACTGTTTCCTGTCTTCTCACCTTGGATTTCTTTGAAACTTAACAAAAAGGTTAGAAAAAGATAGCCTGAGCCAATTTTTTCTTGTTTTTAATCCTCATCCGATGATATTTTTTCCCTCATCATTTTTAATACATATTTTTATTGTTGATAGTATTACAGGTATCTTCCATCTCCTCTCCTTCCCCCCGCCCCAACTCCTCCTAGCACCTCCTTCCTCCACCCTATTGCCTGTATCCATGGACTATGCAAATAAATATATAAGTTCTTTGGTTTATCTCTTCTTGTCCCCGCAACCCCACATTGAGATATGGAACCAACTGGCATAC